CAGGCATGATTATGACAGGTTGGATGTATATGATGGATCCACATCACTAATCTGGTGCAGACCTTTAATTATAGGCAGAAAAACAGTAGCTTCGCCTTATTTCTTACTACTTAATAAAATTGATCTGCCTTTGAGCATAAGAAGAGCCAAAACAAGCCATGGATGAATTAGATCAGTCATGATTGTTGCTGGATGTCTGTTTTGGAATTTGTCACCAGTTTTGCAATTGTCAGGGACCGTTGTGCTTTTATGGACAATGTGTGATCTCCACAAAGTGCAGCAAGAGTAAAGGCAGAAGAGTTCAGTGTGGCATTTTATAACACACTGGTTTTTTTAAAAGGATGCTTGTGATTTTCCTGCATTTTATAATCCTAATGTGTTTTACAAGTTAAGGAATAAGAAGGGTCTGCATGAAGATTGTTTCCTCTTTATTTGAACAGTAACATACAATGAGATTGTATAATTTCTGAGTCAAGCAAGAGTCATTTTGCGGCCAAGGAACTTTCCCTCCAAAAGCAAAAAGAGAGGGGAAGAAATTGAACTATGTTGGGTTTTTCAAAATAAGTACCTCCAGTACAGTGAATACTGGCATTGTTTTGTCATATCAGGTTAGCAGTTCTTCACTGTTCTCTAAAACAAGCAATTTTTAGAAGTACCCATGAACTTAAAAAAAAAAAATTCTCCAGTCTTCTGAAAAGGCAACATATTGAAAGTGTAGGTTGATGTGCTCTTTATGAGGACTGTAAGGAACAGATTTCAAAAGTGTGACTATTATATGATATATTATTCTCTCAGAAAGAATGTCAAGTCGTCGTATCACTCCGCCATGTGACAGGCGGCAGCTTCCATGGGGCATGACTGGCATGGACTCACCCACTGGTGAACTGCGGCCAATGAGATTACCATTTCTTGAAGCCGATGTAAGTAGCGTTGTTCTTTTGGATTAGTGTAATTTGGCATGCTGATGTGTAAATACCATAAATATCGAAGATACTGAAGATTGAATAAGAAAAAACCTGCTAGATTTATTTATAAAACAAATTTATATAGCCACCTAATTTACACATAGACAGCTCTAGGAAGCCTACACAATTTTTTAAAAATCCATTATATAATAAATGCCCATTAAAAAAACCCATCCCACCCCCATGGCAGCAACAACACAATCAAATCAGTCGCTTGATCCACTCCATCTCCATTTGTATTCCCCAGGTCTGCTGACAAACCATATTTTTAGGGCTTTTCAGAAAACCAGTAGGGTGAGGGCTAAGTGTACCTCAGGGGGAATGATGCATAAAAATGGTCACCACTGAGAAGATCAATGGTCAAACCAAAGACTGACATAGTCCACATTATTGTTATTCTACAGATACCCCTGAAAACCTTTAAGCAAGTCATATTTATAATATGATCTTGTAAGATTTTCCAGTTAGCCTCACAATTGCCCCAGCATTACTCAGGAATTTAAAAGAGCCAAAGAAACTCCTGAGTCCAGGTTTCAGCAAGCAAACAACTTTTATTTTGATCCTGAAAGGTGTGTTGTTTAACAGAGGTTATGTCATGAATATTAAGCCTAACCCATTCACATTCCTCAAATTTTCTAAGATTGCAAAACTGGAGTGACCTGCTTGAATTTATCTACATTTAAATAGGTAGAGAACTGGAGATTCACAGCTAGACTTAATTTTTCATTTTTCTCTCAAATTCAAATTAAACTGATTGGATTCTACTGCTGAGTAACAATTTCTAGGAATCTGGAACTTTCTTAAATTAGTACCTTATTTAAGAGGAGGGAATCTATTCCTCAGCCTTTAAGTTTCATTCCACATTATAAATATTACACAGAATCATAGCATTTCATAAAGTACAATAAGCCCAAAGCTGGTGTCTATCAGATGTATTGGACAGACAATTCCCAGCACTTTGGCTGGAAATAAAACCTCCAATGTATACAATACATATTACTGACCTCAGGACCTTTACAATATTTATTTCATTCATATAGCTGCCCAAAACATGACTCTGGTTTTGGGGATACAAAACTCACTTAGCAAAATACAGAACAGTGCATGTCATATTTTATTATTGAACAAGTAGTCCTCAACTTACAACAGTTCATTTAGTGACCCTTTGAAGTTACAAGGGCACTGAAAAAAGTGACTTATGACCGTTTTTCACACGAACGTTACAGCACCCCTATGGTCACATGATCAAAATTCAGACACATGGCAACTGACACATATTTGATGGTTGCCATGTCCTGGGGTCATGTGATCCCTTTTGTGACTTTCTGACAAGCAAAGTCAATGGGGAAACTAGATTCACTTAACCATATTCTTAATTTAGCAACTTCAGTGATTCACATAACAATTGTAACAAGAAAGATTGTGAAATGCGGCAAAATTCATTCAACAACTATCTCACTTAGCCACATAAAGTTTGGACTCAGCTGTGGTCGTTAAGTCGAGGGTTACCTGTATTGTGACAGATTTCAAGCTTGTATCCTGAATTAAATATCTTGAATTGAAAAGGAAATAGTTATTTAATACAACCCCTTGGTAGGGATCAGGTTGTCCATGAACAGTACCGTGATTTTTTTTTTTACATGAAATCCACCTCAAACCCTGACANAGGCCTCTTGACCTATCCCCGTGGGGATAAAGCCGTCGCTCGGGGGGGGGGGGGCGGAAGGTTGAGCGCGATGAAAGCGAGAAGGGCTTGGGGGACATGTAGTTGGTTGCTACAATCATGGGAGATTCTAAAACGGGGGTCTTCAAACCTGGCCCTTTTATGACTTGTGGACTTCAACTCCCAGAATTCCTCAGCCAGCATGGCTGGCTGAGGAATTCTGGGAGTTGAAGTCCACAAGTTTAATGAAGAGAAGGACGAGAGGGGACATGATAGCAGCGTTCCAATATCTCAGGGGCTGCCACAAAGAAGAGGGAGTCAAGCTATTTTCCAAAGCACCTGAGGGCAGGACAAGAAGCAACGGGTGGAAACTAACCAAGGAGAGAAGCAACCTAGAACTAAGGAGAAACTTCCTGACAGTTAGAACAATTCACCAGTGGAACAACCTGCCTCCAGAAGCGGTGAATGCTCCAACACTGGAAGTTTTTAAGAAGAGACTGGACAGCCATTTGTCCGAAATGGTATAGGGTTTCCTGCCTGAGCAGGGGGTTGGACTAGATGACCTTCAAGGTCCCTTCCAACTTTACTATTATTATTATTATTAAGTCATAAAAGGGCCAGGTTTGAAGACCCCTGTCCTAAAATAACAAACATGGAAAAGGTTTTGATTTAAAGATCTCCAATCCTGTGTAAAGGGAACTCCATCCACCCTTGCCGTGTATTACTTATCTAGGCCAGGATTTAATTACTGTACGGTTGGTTGAAGGAGACCTAGGGTATACAGGTAGTCCTCGACTTGCAGCAGTTCGTTTAGTGACCGTTCAAAGTTACAACTGAAACAAGTGATTGGTGACCGCTTTCCCACACTTACGACTCTTGTTACATCCCCGTGATCATGTGATCAGAATTCAGAGGCTTGGCAACTGACTCAGACCTAGGAGGGTTGCTGTGTCCTAAGGTCATGTGAACACCTTTTGCAATCTTTTAACAAAGCAAAATGAACGGGGGAAGCCAGGTTCACTTAACAGCCGTGTGACTGACTTATCAACTGTGGCGATTTGCTTAACAACTATGGCAAGAAAGGTCTTAAAATGGGGTAAAACTCACTTAACAAATGCCTCACTTAACAACAGAAATGGGCTCATTTGTGATCGTAAGTCAAGGACTAACTGTACAGTTCTTGAAAACTCTGCAGCCTTTCTATTCAGGCACTAGCACAGCACACCAAATATCAGTTTATTATTAGACTTGAGTGCAAATAGCTTGCAGGTAAGGTTGTCTAAAGGCCTACTTGCATTTCCTACAGTAGGTGAGATTCCCTGCTTGAATCAGCTGGGGAAATCTGTCTTGTCTTAAGTACCTGATGTGTGAAAAAGGGGAGGGGGGAAGTTTCTCTGTGGTTGCAGTCTTGACTTCTCTATGGTTAGAAAAATCAGTCTTTCCTACTCCTTCCTAATATTCTGTCACTACGTACTACCCATATATTTTATACCAGTACTTGTTCATATAAAAATATTGTTTTCTGATATTATGGGTTTTTTTGTCACTTAGTTCATTTGTCACCAGTATTTTATCATTCTGTTTAGGGATTTTTTTCTGAAAAACAGAAAAGTAGATATATTTTTAAAAAATTTTGTCATACATGTAAACAATATTATTTTTGTTTTAGATACCTGGAAGGCAACCCTTGTTCACAATGTATAGACCAAAAGTAAGCCTTAAAGACCGGCAACAACTTTACAGGCTTATTATTAGTCAGCTGTTATATGATGGATATATCAATATTGCTAATGGTCTGATAAATGAAGTAAAGCCACAGTCTGTCTGTGCACCCTCTGAACAACTGTTGCATCTTATTAAACTAGGTAAGTTGAAACATCAGTAAACAAAAAGAAGATGTTACAGTAATATCATTTTATGTGATGCTAAACTTGGTTATAGTTCTTTCCACGCTGAAAACCATTATTTTAATATGACCTCTCTCACCTACCATTAATTAAATATCATGGCTGTGCAGAGATTCGGAATCAAAGGGCAAAATGTAATTCGGCTGTAGGTGACAACTATAAAAGTCCAGAAAAAGATGCAGCTGCTTAAGATACTTCCCAATGGTTCTACATATACACTTTGAATTCACATGAATCTAAATCTCTGCACCCCTAGCTTGCTTATTTGATTGATCGATTGAACCAACCATCTCATGTGATTCTGGACAGCTTACAATACAATAGATAAACCAAAGGCAGTGCAAAAAGTGAAAACCCATAGTAGCCAGGAATCATAAAACCCATTATTAATTTAAGCAAGAGACTGTCACTCAGGCCACCAGACTCAGGCATTGAAGCAAGTCTTTGGTTCTGTCTTCTAAAACAATGTTGAGCAATATTCCAACCAATTGTCCAGTAATGATGTAATTCTAATTGACTTTTAGAACTTTTTCTGAAGTATTTCTAGCCTTCTGACTTTAAATGGTTACCAGTCTAGCTGTAATGTCAAACTATACATTGGTATAACTATAAAGGTCCCTCCTTTACCTTCCTTTTTCCTACTGTTTTGCAGATTCCCAGACTACCTTTTTTATTGGTTTAAAATTTTTATTTGCATGGAAATGAATGACGTGCTATGATTTGCACAATAAAGAGAAGAAAGTAATTCAATTGTGGGAAGGAAAGAGCACACAAAGCAAGTTGTGCTCATATATTCTAAAGCAATACTTAGCTTTATGTTTGAATCAAATCAGTGCTAGAAGAAATAATCATTTTTATTTGATAAGCATTCTCTATTCAGCTTATCTATAAATATTAAAATTCTACGCATTAACTTTACACTTACTATACTTTTTATAAGCTTCCTGTAATTTGTAATCTACAGTTATTTTGATGCAGTCTAAAATTGCATTTGCTTCTTGTACAGCCACATGGTACATTATTGAATCAACTTCGGTTTATATTTAAAAAATAAAGTTTGGTGCATTCTGTCTTCCAGGAATGGAAAATGACGATAGTGCAGTTCAGTATGCAATTGGACGCTCTGATACAGTAGCTCCTGGAACAGGAATTGACTTGGAGTTTGATGCAGATGTACAGACTATGTCTCCAGAAGCATCTGAATATGAGACGTGTTATGTCACATCTCACAAAGGACCATGTCGTGTAGCTACATATAGCAGAGATGGACAGTTAATTGCTACAGGATCAGCTGATGCATCAATAAAAATACTTGATACCGAAAGAATGTTAGCAAAAAGTGCTATGCCCATTGAGGTAAATATTGAAGTAGTATGAATCCATATTGTTGCTTTGGCTCTTTGTTGATCATCTGCTGTTCTCATAAAGAGATGCTGAATGCTTTACATGGGGCTCCCTTTGAGGAGCACCCGGAGGCTGCAAATGGTCCAGAATGCGGCCGCGCGGGCGGTGTTGGGAGGGACTCGTCGCTCCCATGTGACACCGCTGCTGCGCGAGCTGCACTGGTTGCCAGTGGCCTTCCGGGTGCGCTTTAAGGTGTTAGTTACCACCTTTAAAGCGCTTCATGGCATAGGACCCGGTT